ATTTTCCTAAGATAAATTTCTCTTTCTCACTCTATATATATGCTTTACTGGTTTTGCTTCTCTAGAGAACCCAGTCTAACACATAGAGTGTTCCTATGAAAACTTTTGTAAGCAGAAATGGCTAAAGTAAAGACGCATTACTCTTCATTTACGTGGGAAAATTGTCTGAGCATTCCCAGAACCAAAAAATAACCTACAAAAATCATACCAAAGAACACATAAAACCCAAAATAACACTAACTTTATAGTGTTCACAAACAGAGTTCAAAGCTATGGCAGCTTGACGCTAAGATATAGTTCTTGGGGAAGGAGCTTGGCAATACCACTTTATAAACATTGAATGCTAATTTTGCTTTTCAATCTTTGTAAAAGTCAAAATTCTTTTTAGACAGAGAAAACAGGTAGGAATGTAGGTCTTTCAGGAAAGCTAAATGGCATAAAGATAATATTCAAACAGTGGGGGATGAGTGTAATTCCAAATCGACAAAAACTCTTTCACAAATTAGAGGAAGAAAGAATACTTCTCAACTCATTTAATAAGGACAGCATTACCCAAAGTCACTGCAATTAAGAGAACTGCAGGTCAATATCCCTCATGAACATAGTTGTAAAAATCTTTAACATATTAGCAAACGAATCCCAGTTCATAACAAAAATAGAATATCATGACCAAGTGGGGTTTATACCAGAATGCCAGCTACTTTAACCTTAAATAATCAATGTAATTTGCCATATAAAGAGAATAAAAAGAAAAACCATATGATCATCTCAATGCAGGCAGAAAAAGCATTTGAAAATTTAGCACGCACTTAAGATAAAAAAAAAAACTCTTAGCAAAGTAAAAATAGAATTTTTTTTTTTCAACCTAATAAAGGCCATCCACAACAAAACATACGGCTTTAACATCAGAATTAACAGTAACAAGTGAGTGCTTTCTCTCTAAGATCAGGAATAAGGTAGGGATATTCACTCTCATCACTTCTATTCAATATTGTACTGGAGATCCTAGTCTGTGCAGTAAGGTAGATTTAAAAGAAAGAAGTACAGCTCTTGAAGATGACATTTGTGTATGTAGAAAGCCTAGGAAATCTACAAAACACAAAAAAGTTGTAAAAAGAAGCAATGAATTCAGCAAGGTTGCAGGATATAAAGTCAATATATAAAAAAATGGTATTTGTATATACTAGCAATGAACAATTAGAAAATGAATTTATAATTACATCAAAATACATAAATACTTATGGTTAAATATGTGCAAGACCTTTTCAATGGAAGCTATAAAACATTTGAGAGAAATTAAAGAGAGATATACTATGAACATAGACTAGAAGAATCAATATTGACTTAAGGAAGTTGATATAGGTAGATTCTTTAGGATATGGGAGAAGAATTAATGAATGAGTAGCATAGATACTAAACTGTTAAAAATGATTATCTACAATGTTGATGTTGTTGTTGTTATGTGCCATCGAGTCAGACAGGACTCATAATGACCCTTCTTTGGGTTTCTGAGGCAGAATCACTACAGAAGTAGATTGCCCAATCTTCCTTCCGAGGAGTGGCTGGTGGATTTGAACCGCTAACCTTCTGGTTAGCAGTCAAGTGCCTTAGGCACTACACTAATTATCTACAATAGAATGGTCAAAAACCTCTATTTGTCATTATATATTATATACTTTTATTTTCTGCTCATGTATTGTAGAAAAACAAAAATTTTAAGAATAGCCTAAAATTATAATAAATGTTTCCATATTACATCCTCCTTTAATCATCTGTAAGAATCAAATTCCCATTTAAGGTTTCATTAAATTTTATACACACACATATATTCTAAAATCTATGTGAAGAAATTATACTACATAATATTAGCTAAGTGATTTTCTTAAATAGAATCTTTAATTGCTTATTTTTAAAGGACATTATACTATTTTTTCTCTAATATAGTTTATATTAAATGTTACCTTTTTAATTTAGGGTTATCCCTTAACATTCAAAACAAAACCCACACTCAGTATCCCTATTCTATCAATTCATATTTGGACTAGTCTTTGTATCTTTAACAAGTTTCTCTTCTTTTCTATCTTTGGCTTTGGTGTTGGCTTTTTAATTGGGTTGATTAATGAACTTCAGGAGTTTGGCTAGAAAAGTTTAGAAACAGTTTTTAATCTTGTTATACTTTTCTTATGAAAATATCACATGCCAAACTTACTGCTTTCAAAATTAAAAAACAACTCTCTGTAAAATTTGAGAATAATCATCAGTAACATACTTGGGTATAAAATCATACAAAAATACTAAGAAATATTCTATTTATATTTAATATAATTTATATATTTAATAGCCCTGGAACTACAGATAAGGATTCACAAAGTATATAATGAGAGTAATTTTGGGCAATGAATGACCAATTGAGAAAGTGCTCAGTTATAAAAACAAACCATTCCTGGGATGAATACACAGATACTATGAGTGAGAGATTAATGTAGTATTTTGTCATTTATTTAATAATACATTTACTTGATTCACTTCATTGCAATGAATAACAATTTAATACACAGCTGTCAAGTTATAAGACCAGGTTCTCCTTGATTAAGTAACAGATTTAGACCTGGCAATGCAACATTTTGCAGACAAAGCCATAATAAGCAGTTGGATCATTCTTGGGAAAAGTATGTGTAGTTTGTGGGCTAGCAGAGTTCAACTTCCTGAAAACATGAAAATCTGGTTGATAATTTGTTCCTTACTTGTTAGCACTATTCTTTTCCCTTAAATAAATTGCTCAACAGATCACAAAGTTTCAAAACTATGTAAAAAAATCAGACTTACAGATTCAGAACCATGATAGGATTTCCTTAGGATATAATAATCAAATAGTTAGATAATTTATTTAATGTATCAATTAGAATTCATATTATAGAGGCACTGAAGGTAACAAAACATGACTATTTCCATTAATTAACCTGGCTAAACTTGTAACAGCAGAGAACAACATACCGAAATTACTCTTCAATAAAACCATATTTTTACTTGATATTTGTAAAAAATTGGCCAAATTGTGTTGAATCTTCAAATTGCTTCTCTCCTTTCCTTTTTCAGCTCTTACTACAATGATTTCTTAGGCAGGAAAAGCCTCTTTTAAACAAGTTATTATAATGTTACAGCTAACAAAAATTAAATGCACTTAATACTCTTAAGTGCATTTAATCTAATCTTCCCAACACTATCATCCTTTCCTTCAAGCCTCATTCTTCAATGTTATGAAAAGCTTCTAGTCATAATTATTCTAAGACTATAATAATAGCATTGTAATTTGAATTCATTTATTCTAAAATAATTGTCCTTTGTTTTTATTTTCCTATATTTTCTAAGGACTCAACAACATTGTCCCTTAATATTAAATAAAACCAAAATAATCTCAGAATTTAGTTCTATGGGAACTTAACAAAAACAACCTTGCTTGCTGAAAATAAAGAAGACTTGATGCACTTATTGATGAAGATCAAAGACTACAGCCTTCAATATGGTTTACACGTCAACAAAAAAGAAAACAAAAATCCTCACAACTGGACCAACAAGCAGCCTCATGATAAACACAGAAAATATTGAAGTTGTCAAGGATTTCATTTTATTTGGATTACAATCAACACAGCAATCAAGAAACCAAACAACGTATTGCACTAGGCAAATCTGCTGCAAAAGACCTCTTTAAAGTGTTAAAAAGCAAAGATGTCACTTGAGAATCAAGGTGTGCCTGACCTAAGCCATAGTATCTTCAATCACCTCATATCCATGCAAAAGCTGTGCAATGAATAAATACGGAAGAATTGATGCCTTTGTTATGGTGAAGAATATCCAATGTATGGTGGACTGCCAAAAGAAGGAACAAATCTGTCTAGGAAGAAGTACAGCCAGAAATCTCCTTGGAAGCCAGGATGGCAAGACTTCCTCTCACATACTTGAGACATGTTATCAGGAGGGACCAGTTCCTGGAGAAGGACATCATGCTTGGTAGAGGTCAGCAAAAATGAGGAAGACCCTCAGGGAGATGGATTGACACAGTGGCTGCAAAGATGGGCTCAAGCATAGCAAGAATTGTGATGAAGGCGCAGGACCCAGCAGTGTTTCGGTCGTTTTCAATAGAGTTGCTATGTGTCAGAGCCCAACTCGAGGGCACCTAACAACTACTACTGCTAGCTAAAATTACTTATAAAAAAAGAAATGAATTATTTAGAATAATAATAATCTCAAGTTTTTCATTCCCAGGAGCCAGGAAGGTTTTTTTCAGTTTCAGTGAAGTACAATTAAACTGCCGTGTAAAGCTCAAAGGTCATCTTTTTTATTGTAGTTCAAACGGTTTTCCTGATCCCTTTTGTATTCCATTCTAGTTTCCACGTTCCTCTTCCCAACCCTATCATCCTTTCCTTCAAGCCTTATTCTTCAATGTTTCAAAGCCACGGTCCCCGAGCAAAGAGACCAGTGTTTTCAAATTTTCTTGTAGCTACCAAAGGTCCCTTCGTACCGTCAGTCACGCCCAAACAACCAGTCATCCGCCCCCGGCTCCCCGCTCCCCACCCGGACCAGCCTCCCCAAGAGGAAGCACCTGAGAGCGAGGCCCGGCGGGGCGCCTCCGGTGCACACCTGGGTAGAGGGCGGTCCTTTAACGGCCAGTAGGTGTGGGGGAGGGGAGCCTGTTCCCACACCTCCCCCGCCCCCAGGTGGTGATTCAACAGAGGTGAACAGACCCGGGAAGGGGCCAGGAGGCGGGGCGCAGGTCCGGCAGGTTGGTGCTCCGCCCCGCCGCGCACTCAGAGCGCGCAAGTCCTTCGACTAGCTCCCAGTCCCTGCCTGGTCCGCGGACCACCTCACGGCGGTTCTTTAGAAGCGGACCCCGCACATCACAGGGCTCCCGCCGCCCGGCTGGCCAGCAGGCTCCCCACTCTTTGCGCGCTCTCCAGCGAGCCCCTGGTCCGCCCGGCGCCCCTTTCCTAGGCGCGCGCATCATGGCGCCCCCCCAGGTCTTCGCTTTCGGGCTTTTAATCGCAGCGGCGACGGCGGCGGTGGCTACCGCTCAAAAAGGTGAGGGGCTTACTGAACAAAGTTGTGGGTTGTTCCGACGCTGGGGGCGCCAACCTGTGGCGCCAGCGAAGAGGATAGTGGGGAGGGGTAGAGGGGCGGCACTTTACCGCCTTGAGTGGGGACGGCGCGCGAGATGCTATGATCTGCTTTCTCGGCGCTCAGCAGGCGTCGGAAAGGTGCCAACTTGCAGGGATACGAAGCAGCGCCCTCATTTTGCAGTTTTGGACTCCTCTGGGGAAGTGGCCTGGGGCAGGGACGTAGGGGAGGGCGGGGGGGCCTGGTGGCCAAGTCCAGGGATCCTGCGGCCTAAGTGGGCGGCGATGGCCCGGGCCGCGCACAGATCCCACAACCTTAAGATCCCACAACTCGCCCATCTCCTTTAACCGGGATGGACTTGGAGTTCCGGCGGTGCCTAAACCCTCCATGTCCTGAAGGAGAGTCGCTGCGGCGGCAACCTGGCGGTCCGCCTGCCCCCGGGGCACCTGCGGTGGGCCTTGGGCAGGAACAAGTGGCTATGGCGAGGCCTCTGGGGCCGGTACGCACCTGTATGCGGGGACGGCACTCCAGGGCCTTTATCTGGGCGTGGTGTTTTCCTTTTACTAAAGATATGAGTAATGTCAAGTTTATTGCGGAGAAAACTCAGACCTAAAGATAGCCGTAAAGAGTAAAGAACACCCATAATTCCATTCCTTCATGAGAATCTCAGAGGTAATAATTTGGTATATTTTTCTTTCAGACATTCCCCTGAACCTAAAACACATAATTTTATATCTTGGATTTTTTTTCCCCGCATAACATTTCCAGAGTTCTCCGTTTCCTTTAGTCTTTAAAAACACGCCTTAAATGGTGACGGAAAAATCTATAGCATATAAGGTTGGACGTGTAGTTTGACTCTTTTCTTACTTTGGAATAAATATTTTGGCAGCATCTCTTGAAAAGTAAGTGCGTAGAAGTGGAATGGCAATTATTTGTACTTCCACCAACGGGACGTCTAATTCGTTGCACCTTCAAAATAATATTGTTTAATCAGTTTATGGTTTTCTGAATTCATTCTGGGGCTAAATACTTAATCTGAAATTGCTTCTAAATGGTGGTATCCTCTATAGGCATATGTGTGTACCTAATTTGTGTTTTTTAAATTTCGTATCACTTGGGCATGAAAAATATGCTTTGAGCCGATATAGTGTAGTACTGTACAAAATTTTAATTTCTTTAGGACTGCCACTATCTCCTTTTGTGATCCCAGTATTGAGTTTAGTACTGGCAGACTGCAGATATTCATACTGATTATAACTTTTTGATGATAAACAGAGAAAAAATAAAGCCAATTTAGGGTGCTTGGGGTACAAAGTACAAGGGTCAGTGTATGAATTCTTTGGATTGTGATGCTAGTTTTTGTTTTAAATGATTTTTTAAATGACTTTGTTTTTAATGATCTCTTAACTAGACATATAAGGAATGTGATGGGCTTGCCAATTTGAAGCTGAAATGAACTTATGAGATAGTCAAGGATATAACTATTAAACTGACTTCAAGACCCTAAGATTGGCTATTTAGTATTAGTACCAGTTTCAAAAAACTAGGATTTTAATGTAGTTAGAAACCCCACGTTAGATGTGCCCCAAAATTCTGTTGAAAATGATAAATAGTTCAAAGGTTGACTATGTTCCCATTAAGCCAGGTAAATAAAAAAAAGTTTTCCTTTATTTAGAAAATGGAGTGGGATAGGGGGAGGAGGGAATGTGTGCATTCACAGATCCTAGAATTGGGATTACTGAATTTTGGGAAAAGAGGCAGTGACTGATAGGCAGGGGTTTAGCAGAATCAGAGGTGAGAAGGAGCTGAAACAAGGAGAATCATAAAGGCAAAGCTGGATGTGATTTTGGGAGGGCTGTATTCTTGGTTTTAAAAAATTGAAATAGGAATTCACATCTACAGTATGTCATGTATATACACTTGTTGAGCACAATGTTTGGCACTTTAAAAGTGTCTATAAATGGTAGCTAAAAAAACAATTCAGGACCACTTTTTAAAGCTTTGTACCCCTGCCACTTGAGCATTATTGTCAGAACTTAATTTAGCTGGATTCCCAGAGTTGATATTTTCATCCACATTTTAAAGTGGACTTTTTTTATAGTCTTTTTTTTTTTTTAAGGTTATTTGTTTATTTTGGGGAGTATACACAGCAGAACATACACCAATTCAACAATCTCTATGTATAATTCAGTGACAGATTACATTCTCCAAGCTGTGCAACATTCTCCCACTCTTTCTGACTCGGACCTCCCCATAAATTTTCTGTCTAATCTTTCTAGTTGCAGTTGTCAATATGATCCCATACAGATAGTTCTTAACAGAGTGTAATGCCCAAGGCAGACATTCTTTGCTAGTTAAGCTAAAGTATTATTTGGTTTTAAAGAGATTACAGGGATATTTGTGATTAAAGTGGATTTTTTTCCCCCAGACTGTCTCTGTGAAAACTATAAGCTGACCACAAACTGCACTATGAACAGCAATGGTCAATGCCAGTGTACTTCAATTGGTACACAAAATACTGTCATTTGTTCAAAATGTGAGTAGAATGTCTTCATTATTTTTAAACTTTACTTTGACTTTAATAATTCTTTAATCGATGTGTCTTGAATTGGGAAGTTTTACTGGCTTACATCTGAACCATGTTACTCAGCTTTGTTGAAATCATCTCATGTCTGAAACTTCAGGAAGTGGGTTGTGAGAGCATGGAAATTTTATTATAATCCTTGGCCTTGGTAGTTTTGTGTTGAATTAGTTTTTCTTCCTGTAAGCATAACATGCAGTTATTTTTCATTCTGACATTAAGCTTTATTTTTAGTGGCTACCAAATGTTTGGTGATGAAGGCAGAAATGACTGGTTCAAAGTTGTCTGGGAGAAGAGCAAAACCTGAGGGTGCTATCCAGAACAATGACGGGCTTTATGACCCTGATTGTGATGAGAAGGGGCTCTTTAAAGCCAAGCAGTGCAATGGCACCGCCACGTGCTGGTGTGTGAACACTGCTGGTGTCAGAAGAACCGATAAGGACACTGAAATAACATGCTCCGAACGTGTAAGGACCTAGTAAGTTTGGTTACCCGTATTATTTTTTCTGTGCTTTTCAGAATTATTTAATTAAACTTATTTTTTAAATATGTAATATGATTTTATGGTTTACAATTCAAAAAATAAAGGGTAAACACTGAAAATTCTCCATTCCATCTCAATCCCCAGCTACCCAGTTTATACCTCCATAGAATTTATGTAAACTAGATGTAGTGCCTAAGGCATGACTGCTAACCAGAAGGCTGGTGGTTCAAATCCACCAGCCACTCCTCAGAAGGAACTTTGGGAAGTCTACTTCCATAGTGATACTGCCTCGGAAACCCAAGGAGGGGTCATTATGAGTTGGATCCGACTCGATGGCAGTGAGTGAGTGAATGAGTGAGTTTATTTTGTAACTTTCCAGATATATTATAAATATATTTCATGAAATATAAATATACCCACCAGCCACTCCTCGGAAGGAAGGTTGGGCAATCCTACTTCCGTAGTGATACTGCCTCGGAAACCCAAGGAGGGGTCGCTATGAGTCGGGGCCGACTCGACGGCACATAACAACAACAACAACAACAACAAAATATATTTATGAATTTTCTAGTAATATATATGTTTTCTTCTTTAAAACAAAAGAAGGATCGGTGGTTGGAAAATATGGTCTTGGTGATAGAAACGATGTAGGTGACATCATAGAATTTTGCAAGACTAACAACTTATCTGTTGGAAATACCTTTTTCAACAACATAAAAGGTGACTATACACAAGGACTTTGCCAGACGGCGTACATAGAAATCAAATTGATTACATCTGTGGAAAGAGGTGATGGAGAATCTTAGTATCTTCAGTCAGAAGAAGGTGAGGGGCAGACTAAGGAATTGACCATCAATTGCTCCTATGCAAGCTCAAGTTGAAGCTGAAGAAAATTAAAACAAGTCCACAAAAGCCAAAATACAACCTTGAATACATCCCGCCTAAATTTAGAGACTATCTGAAGAATAGATTTGACACATTGAACACCAGTGACTAAAAACCAATTGAGTTGTGGGATGATGTCAAGAACATCACACATGAAGAAAGCAAAAGGTCATTAAAAAAGACTGGAAAGGAAAAAAAAAGACCAAAATGGACATCAGAAAAGACTGAAACTTGCTTTAGAACATACAGCAAATGGGAGAAATGATGACGTAAAAGAAGTGAACAGAAGATTTCGAAGAGTGATTCAAGGAAACAAAGTAAGATTTTATAATGAGATGTAGAAAGACCTGAAGTTAATAAATCAAAAGGGCAGAACACATTCAGCATTTCTCAAGGTGAAAGAACTGAAGAAAAAATTCAAGCCTTGAATTGCATTGAAAGATTCTGTGGGCAAAAAATGGAATAACACAAGAAGTATCAAAAGAACATGGAAGGACAGCCAGCAAACACATGAAGAAGTGCTTGGGATCATTAGCCATTAGATGCAAATCAAAACAACAAATGCTGGCAAAGGTGTGGAGAAATTAGAACACTCATACACTACTGGTGGAATTGGAAAATGGTACGATGCTTCCTTAAGAAGTTGAAAATAGAAATACCGTATGATCCAGCAATCCCATTTACTAGGTATATACCCTAAAGAAATAAGAACTGTGACCCGAACAGATACATGCACACCCATGTTCATTGCAGCATTATTCACAATAGCAAAAAGATGGAAACCACCTAAGTGCCTTATCAATGGATGAATGGACAAACAAATAATGATACATAATGCAAATAATGGAATACTACGTAATGTTAAAGAATAACAGTGAATCTACAAAACACCTTGGTCTGGTTACCTAGTGCCACTCTGACAAGAATATACCACAAATGGGATGGCCTTAACAAACAGGAGTTTATTCTCACAGTTTGGAGGCTTTAAGTCCAAGTTCAAAGCTCCAGGTTCTAGGGGCTGGGTCAAAGTCCCTCAACCTTGGGCTTCAGCTCTGCCTCTTGCTCCCGGCTCAATGAAGCTAGAGGCATCTCTTCACTCAGGCTGCTACTGGCTGCTGAGGCTAACAAGCCCAAGGTCGACAAATAAAATGGCACAGTCCCGATGTTACCAAACCACACAGCAGGCCATTGATTCAAGTCCATTGTAAGTCCCAAGGTCAGCAGAGCATGGCAGGCTGCTGAACAACAACACAGCTACATGCAGGGTCCAAGCGTGCCATAAGCTAGATACCATTCCCAAAACTGTTTCTTATATACAAGGAGCAGACAACATATCCAAAGGCAGCTACTCAGCTGCTCACAGTAGATTCCACCATGGAGTTATTTACCAGTCTCATCATGGGAAATACTACATCCAGCTGCCCAGCCACTCAACCAGGCCCAACCAAGTCAACACACAAACTTAACCACCACACACCTAATAAAATGAACAAACCTAGAGAACATTATGCTGAGTGAAATTAGTCAATCACAAAATGACAATTACTATATGAGACCACTACTACAAAAGGTTAAGAAAAGGTTTATACACAGAAAGAATTGTTCTTTGAAAGTTAACAGGTATGAGAGGGGAAGGACAATCACCAACTTGAAGGTAGGCATGTATTAACTTGGGTGAAGTGAAAGGCAATATACAATAAGGGGGAGGTCAGTAATAACTAATTTAGGAGTGGTTGCATAGATAGACACTCAGGTTATTGGGGGTGGGAAGGCGAATGGGACTGCACCCATGAATATATATAGGTTTGACGCAGGCTATCTCTACCTATATATTTATTTGTGCTGGAAATATATCCATGAATATAATAGAATATCAGGAGACAAAGTTATGAAAATGCCTTAATTATGACCAAACACCTTGAAGGAATGAATCACTGGGCATGGAGACTCAGGACCACAGTCTCGGTGGATACTAAGGTCAATTGGCATGACATAGTCCACAAAGACAATGTTCTATATCCTCCTTTGGTGAGCAGTGACTAGGGTCTTAAAAGCTTGTAAGCAGCTATCTAAAGTGCAACTATTGGTTTCTCCTCATCTGGAGAAAAGAAGAGTGAAAAATACCAAACATATAGGAAACAATTCAAAGGACTAGGGGAGCAGGTAAATTCCAGCCTCCACAACGCTGAGACTAGAAGAACTAGATGGTACCTGGCTACCACTGATGACTGCTCTGAAAGGGAACACAAACGGTCCCAGCTAGAGTAGGGGGAAATGTGGAACAAAACTCAAAATCATAAAAAAGATCAGGCTTACTGGCCTGATAAAGATTAGTAGAACCCCAGAGACTGTGGCCCTTAGACACCCTTCAAGCTAGGCACTGAACTTAACCCCCATAACTAAACTGGCAGCCAAATGACAAGTCAAGCATATGAGATCAAGAGGACAGCATTTGCTCAGGGATAGAGCTAGGAAGGTGGGAGGGAATAGAGGGGAAGAATTAAAGGAAGGGGTGGACTTAGGGAGGAAGTGGGAAGAATGCTGTTACAGTGTGGGAGTTGTAGTAAACGTTACAAAACTATATGTGTTGTTGAATGGAAAAGCAGTTTGCTCTATAAACTTAACCCAAATCACACACACACACACAAAAGATGATGGAAAGAATACACAGTAGTCACTGTACAAAAAAGAATTGGTTAATGTCAATCCATATCAAGAGGCAGCATATGATCAAGAAGCAATGGTGCTAAAGGAAGAAATCCAGGCTACACTGAAGGTATTTGCGAAAAACAAGGCTCCAGGAGTTAAGGAATACCAATTAAGATGTTTCAACAAATGCTTGGAATGCTAGAAGTGTTCACTTATGTATGTAAGAAATTTGGAAGGCAAATACTTGGGCAAACGAATGGAAGAAATCTATATTTGTACCCATTCCAAAGAAAGGTGACCCAACAGACTGTGGAAGTTATCAAACAATATCATTAATATCACATGCAAGTAAAATTTTACTGAAGATAATTCAAAAATGGTTGATGTCAGATGGATCTTGGCTGAAAGCAAAGAATACCAGAAAGATGTTTACTTGTGTTTCGTTGACTATGCAAAGGCATCTCACTGTGTGGATCATAACAAATTATGGATAACTTGGTGAAGAGTGGGAATTCCAGAACATTTAATTGTGCTAATGAGGAACCTGTGCATGGACCAGGAGGCTGTCATTTGAACAGAGCAAGGGGGTACTGCATGGTTTAAAATCAGGAGAGGTGTGTATCAGGGTTGTATCCTTTCACTATAGTATTCAATCTCTATGTTAAGCAAATAATCCAAGAAGTTGGACTTGTGTGAAGAACAATGTGGTACCAGGATTGGAGGAAGACTTATTAACAACCTGAGATATGCAGATTACACAACTCTCCTTGCTGAAAGTGAAGAGGACTTGAAGCACTAACTGATGAAGATCAAAGACTACAGTCTTTAGTATGAATTACACCTCAACGTAAAGAAAACAGAAATCCACACAGTTGGACCAGTAAGCAACATCATGATAAATGGATAAAAGATTGAAGTTGTCAAAGATTTCATTTTATTTGGATCCATAGTCAATGCCTACAGAAAGGACATGTGGACAATGTCATTTTACCTCTTCTAACGAGGAGGTCTGGTAGCATAGTACCTAAGGCACTTGACTGCTAACCAGAAGGCTGGCAGTTCAAACCCACCAGCCACTCCTCAGAAGGAAGGTTGGGCAATCTACTTCAGTAGTGATACTGCCTCGGAAACCCAAGGAGGGGTCGCTATGAGTTGGGTCCGACTTGACAGCACATTACAACAACAACAACAGCAGCAACTTCCCCAATAAACCCCATGATTGCAAGTAGTGTGTGTGGGTTCTCTGTGGCCACAGCAACATTATTGAACATAGTAGAGAGTGCTGTGGGAGGGACAATTGGTGTCAGAATTGGTAAAAAGGTTGGAGGGTGTGCTGGCTTGTCTGACCTCAACGTTGTAGGAGCCAACCTTGGGTTATTGATGCTGATGGCAGTTCTCTCTCCCCTTTGTGAAGTTAGAGGAGGTCAGAGGACTCCACTCCACTACCTGTTTGCACACATCAACAGCCCAAGACTGACTCCTATGAAGCAGAGGTCAAACATGACACCACCCTCCAACCTTCTTTTCTGACACCAACCATCACTCTCACGGCACTCCTTCTCTGCTGAGTTGCAGTAACCACACAGAGGTTGTTATTAATAATAGCAGGGGTTATTAGTGAAGAAACAGGTTAAAATGCAAGATCAGAAATGACTCAGGATAAATAGGTCTTTAATCAGGACAACCTCTTCTCAGCCGTAACACAAGCACATCTCTCACTGGCCTCAGCTTCTTGGCCCTATAGCCCCTTGGTCTTTGCCCTGTTTGGTCAAGGGTTATAAAGTTCTTTCAGTTCTGGTGATGGGTGTCCAGAGGGACACTCCACTCTGTCAGCAAGCCTTCTGCCTGAAGGCACTCAGCTTTCTTCGTCTGTGGGCTAGGAAGCCTGCTGCTCTCTCTCATGATAGTCTCTTGGGTCAAAGAGATCTACCTCAGGGATCTCAGGTCCAAGGATATGTTCTACTCTTGGTTCTTATTTCTTGATAGTAGTGAGATTCCCCCCACCCCACTCCTTCACCTCTGGGTGGCTCATATTAAGCCTAGAGGATAGCAAACCTGATTTATCCTCACATTAGTGTTCTATACAGCTTATTTGCATGGGTCCACCCCCACAAGGGTGCCATGTACCCTATTTACATTACTAGTAAATACCCAATCCCCTTGATGGGCCACAAGCACCTCAAATTTGCATAGTTAGTCACAAAGACCATAGCTAGAAAGCCAATTATTGCACTGGAGTGCCCATGGAAGCAGCAGTCAAGAAATCAAATGACATATTGCATTGGGCAAATCTGCTGCAAAAGACCTCTGTATGTGAAAGCTGGATAATGGATAAGGAAGATGAAAGAAGAATTGATGCCCTTATATTATGGTATTGAAGAATATTGAATATACCATGGACTGCCAGAAGAATGAACAAATCTATCTTGGAAGAAATACAGCCAAAATGCTCCTCAGAAGCAAAGATGATGATATTTCTTTGGACATATCATCAGGAAGGACCAGTCCCTGGTGAAAGACATCATGCTTAGAAAAGTAGAGGGTGAGGCTCAGTGAAGGAGGAAGACTCTGATCAATGAGATGGACTGACATAGTGGCTACAAGAATGAACTCAAACATAGCAATGATTATGAGAATGGTGCAGGACTAGACATTCTTCTGTTGTTACATGAGTTGGAATCCACCCGATGTCCACTAACAACAACATATGGTTTCTTACTTTTTACATGATCATTAGCATGCTAAACATAATTTCCTCTTTATGTATTTATTTAACATTCTATAGTATTTTGAAATTAGAGTTAATATACATAGGTAATTTGAACTGTTTATATATTTGCTCATTTATTGTTTTTTAAAAGTGGTATGGTTGTCTTAGATATCACTTAATGAAATGGAACAGAAACCTATTCAAGCTAGCTTCACTAGAATCTGTAAAGCTATCAAGATTCCTTTTGTCTTCTGGACCCTTGTGGTGACTTTTCTCTGTTGCTTTCCATGCCCTTTTTTCTTTTTACCTTAACTTTGCATGACTTTAAATGTTGTGGCTAGAGGACCAAACCAAAAACAAAATCCACTGCCATCAAGTCATTACCAATTCATAGCGACCCTATAGGACAGAGTAGAATTGCCCCATAGGGATTCCAAGGCTGTATAAATATTTATGGAAGCAGACTGCCTCATCTTTCTCCTGCAGAGTGGCTGGTGGGTTCAAACTGTTGACCTTTTGTTAAGCAGCCGAATGCATTAATTAGTACACCAGAGCTCCTTATACTGAGGGTCAGTATTGGATAGGATGGTCTCTGCAGGTTGGGTTCTTTATGAAGGATGTGTGAGGGCCAGGGAAGAAATTAAGGAAATTTCTAATTTGTAAATTCTTTTTGTTAGCTCTACTGTAATTCCACTTGGGAATGTTAGTATTAGCTTATTATTGGGGAAACTGTATAAGAGCCTGAGTTGTTAAAATCAATTTATATTGTCTTTTTGCTTTACAGTTGGATCATCATTGAGCTAAAACATAAAACAAGAGAAAAACCTTATGATACTAACAGTTTGCAGACGTGAGTACTATTGCATTCATTATTTTATACTTGCACAGTTGGTGCTCAAATCTTCCATCCCACACCAGTAGAAAAACGAAAACAAGTCCTAGATGTTTTTTTCACATTTCTGAAAAATAAGATAGGTACATTTTAAGCCTTACATTGAAATAGAACTGCAAGAAAAGTACAAAGAATTCCTATAATACCCTTCATTTAGGTTCACCAATTATTAGCATTTTGCTGCATTTACTTTCTATATGTATGTATGCATATATGTGTGCTTTATGTATTAGTGTAGGAATATTTTTTCCCAGCAAGTGTTTGAGAGCAAGTTGTAGACATTATGTCACTTTATCCCTAAATACTCTAGTATATCTTTTCCTAAGAAAGAAAGACATTCTTATGACATAATCTGTGTGATTTTTAAATTCAGGAAATTTGAAATGGATATCATCTTACGCCAGTTTTTCCAATAATGTCCTCTCTCTGTGGCATTCTCTCCTGATCCAGGATCCATCCAGGGTCATAAGCATTTGTTTTTGTGACTCTTCCTTGAATATGAAATAATTTCTTAGCCTTTCTTTGTCTTTCATGACATGGATACTTCTTAAGAGTATGGGCAAGTTGTTTTATAGAATGTTTCTTAAATTTAGAATTGTCTGCTATTTCCTTATAATTAAATTCAGTTTATACGTTTTTGACAAGAAAGCTACATAAGTGATCTTGTGTCCTCAGAACTTCACTGTAAAAGGTGCATATTGTCAGTTTGTCTCTTACTACTAGTGATGTTAACTTGGTTAAGGTGGTGTCTACCGGGTTTCTCCAGTGGAAAGTTACCATTTTTCCCTTTGTATAAGTAAATCTGTGGACAACTATTTGGATGTTTTAAATGTATTGTTCCTCATCAAACTGTCACTCAGTAGTTTTAATGTCAGTGGATGGTTCTAACCTGAATCTGTTATTACTAATGGTTGTAAAATGACATAGATACTATTTATAAAGTTTAGTTAACAATTCTACAACTTGAGTTATCTGCTTAGTTAAAAAAGTAATGCTTTTTACTACTATATGGTACATAAACTTTTTTGAAAATTCAGATTTTTAAATTATTTACAGTGCTCTTGCAGATGCAATCACAACCCGTTATCAGCTGGATCGAAAATACATCACAAATATTCTGGTAAGGTTTTTAGTAAATGAGCTTTAGCAGAAAATTGGTGGGACAGTATGGTTTGGGTATAAAGGACAATCAGTGATTTTGTTAGTGGTCAACTGCATTTAAGTAAAAATTTAACCCTGCATGCTTTATAATGTGAATTGCCTATTGTTTTGCTTCCACAGCGTTTGAAAACTCCAGTTTACCCTTAACATGTCACATCTCTTAGTATCCTTAAAGCAAGGCCAGTCATCTTACCTGGGAAAGCATCTTTCTGTGCTGGATTTTGGCACATACTTACTTTAGGATGCTACTCTAGCTCCCATCTTCTCTGGTTTAAGGAACTAGTTAGTTTCCTTCCTGAATTCTTCCAACTCTGAAAAATACTTGAATAATGTGATGGAACTCTTTAAAGGAAATATTAATTTATTTTTAAATTAAAATTGATGTCTTCTTTAAAGGACTCTAGGAAGAAATATACTTTTTTGTGCTTTAAAAGCCGAATTGGGTAAATGGATACTGCATTTTAGATTGCATTTCTTTAGCATTTTAGTTTTAAAGTAGTTTTAATCTCCCAAAAAGGTTGTTGGTACCTTGTTTTAAAATTTTTTCAGGAGAAGAAAATTCCTTTTTTGGGGGGTGGAGGGGGAGACAAAACTCATTGTGATCATCTTTTGTTGCATTATTTATTTCCATTGGATAGATTAAAGACCTCTCAAAGGTTTTGAATTATTACTGATAAATTGAATTATCCATTAAAGGGAAGGAAATATGGTTCATATGATCAAACACTGAATATTCCGATTATCAAACAGTGGCATTTCGTGTGATTTTGTTATAGTAATTTATTATTCAACTTCTTCCTCAGTATGAAAATGATATTATCACTATTGATCTGGTCCAAAATTCTTCTCAGAAAACTCAGAATGATGTGGACATAGCTGATGTGGCTTATTATTTTGAGAAAGATGTACGTATAATATTTCTTATTTTATTGCTATGTTAAGCATTATAATGTTCTTTATTGCTCCTCAGTATATTCAAGGAGTCCATTACCTGTTTCTCCATTTATAGTTCCAACTTTATCTAATTATTCTCCAAGTGGTTCTGCTGCTGCCATTAATTTTGTCCCTCCTACTTTGCACACACATTTCTTATTTGTATACATATTCCTTTCATCATATTGTTCTGCCTAGAATGTCTTTTCTGTTATAATCTTTGTCTTTTACCTCCTTGTTAGTTGTTACCTTGTTTGTATATATAAATTATATTCATAATTTCCATGGACAAGATCCCATGTGAAAAATTGCTCTGTAAGTGTTGTTAAAATATTTTATTTAAACTTTAATATACTATAGTGAGGTGTTTTCTAATGAAATCTGGAATTTGCCTGAAAAAATTTGATTGGGGGGAGAGGAGGGAAGACAAAAGGAAGAATAAATGAAATAATATTGGCCATGTGTTGATGTTATTGAATCTGAGTAATAGGTACATGGAGCTTATCTTTCTGTGTTTGTATATGTTTAAATTTTTTCTGTAATAAAAACATTTTTTAAAAGTTTCAGTGTATCAGATTGTTATCACTGAAGGTTTAAAATGTATTGGCAGCAGTCCTTTTGGTATATAACTGGTACATAATTATATGTGGCTGTGGTTGGTTTCCTGAAATATTTTTAATTACTTTTCTCCTCATTATAGGTAAAAGGTGAATCCCTGTTTCTTTCCAGTAGAATGGACCTGAAAGTAAATGGGGAACAATTGGATCTGGATCCTGGTCAAACTTCAATTTACTATGTTGATGAAAAGGCACCTGAATTTTCAATGCAAGGCCTAACAGCTGGAGTTATTGCTGTCATTGTAGTTGTGATAATAGCAATTATCGCTGGAATTGTTGTGCTTGTGAGTATAGTGCAAAAAATAAATTCATTTAAGAGTATATTCTTTTAGAATAATACAGGAAAAGTTTACAGTCATGTTCCAAAAAAAATATTAATGAGGCAAAATCTGCATTTTATTATAATCTTGATAATGAATGAATCTGTTGTGTTTCTGAACAGTCGTTTTATGAAACAAGAAAGGATGTTGTTGTTGTTGTTGTTAGGTGCCATCGAGTCGTCTCTGACTCATAGTGACCCTATGCACAGCAGAACGAAACACCGCCCGGTCCTGAGCCAGCTCCACAATGCTTGCTACACTTGAGCCCATCACCGCCACCACCATGTCAATCCACCTTGTTGAAGACCTTCCCCTTTTCGTTGACCCTCCACCTTACCAAGAATGACATCCTTCTCCAGGGAATGGTCCCTTCTGACAACATGACCAAAGTAGGTGAGACAAAGTCTGGCCATTCTCGCTTCCAAGAAGCATTCTGGCTGTACTTCCTCCAGGGCAGACCTGTTAGTTCTTTGAGTAGTCCACGGTACTTTCAGCATTCTTCACCAAAACCACAACTCAAAAGCATCAATTCTTCTTTGGTCTTCCTTATTCATTGTCCAGCTCTCACATGCATATGAGGCGATTGAAAATGTCAGGCATACCTTAGTCCTCAAGGAGACATGTTTGCTCTTCAATACTTGAAAGAGGTCCTTTGCAGCCGATTTGCCCAGTGCTATACGTCGTCTGATGTCCTGACTGCTGCTTCCATTGGCATTTTGTAGAACCAAGTAATGTGAAGTCTTTGACAATTTCAATCTTTTCTCCATTTATTGTAAAACTGCTTATAGGTCCAGTTGCAAGGATTTTTGTTTTCTTTATATTGCGGCGTAATCCATAGTTCAGACTGTATTCTTCAATCTTCATCAGTAAGTACTTCAAGTGATCCTCACTTTCAGCAAGCAAAGTTGTGTCGTCAGTGTATTGCAGGTTGTTAACAATTCTTCCTCCGATCTTAATGCCACGTTCTTCTTCATAAAGTCTATAAAGTTCTTGGATGTTTTGCTAAGCATTCAGATTGAATAAGTATGGTGAAAGGATACAACCCTTCTTCGTTTTAAAACATTTAGTGCTCCTTTTTTTCTGTTTGAATGACAGCCTCCTTGTCTAGGTACAGGTTCCTCATGAGTACAGTTAAGTGTTCTGGAATTCCCATTCTTCTCAATGTTGTCCAAAATTTGTTATGATCCACACAATCAAATGCTTTTGTGTAGTCAATAGAACATAAGTAAACATCTTTCTGGTATTCTTTACTTTGAGCCAAGATCCATCTGACGTCAGCAGTGATATCCCTCGTTCCATGTCCTCTTCTGAATCTAGCCTGCACCTCTGGAAGTTCTCTGTCAGTATACTGCTGCAACCATTTTTAAATTATCTTCAGTAAGATTTTACTTGTATGTGATATTAATGATATTGTTCTGTAATTTCCACATAATGTGGGATCACCTTTCTTTGGAATGGGTACAAATGTAGAACTTCTCCTGTCAGTTGGCCAGGTCTTCCAAATCTCTTGGCATAATCGAATGAGTGCCTCCAATGGGGCATCCGTTTGTTGAAACATCTCAATTGGTATTCTGTCAGTTCTTGGAACCTTGTTCTCACCAGTTCCCTCAGTGCAGCTTTGACCTCTTCCCTCAATACTACTGGTTCTTTAACATATGCCACCTCCTAAAATGAATGAAGATAGACCAGTTCTTTTTGGTACAGTGACTCTGTGAATTCCTTCCATCTTCTTTTGATGCTTCCTGCATCATTCAATATTTTGCCCATAGAATCTTTCAATATTGCAACTCGAGGCTTAAATTTTTTCCTCAGTTCTTTCAGCTTGAGAAATGCCAAGCATGTTCTTCCCTTTTGGTTTTCTAATTCCAGGTCTTTGCACATTTCATTATAGTAATTGGTTTTGTATGCTTAAGCTGCTCTTTGAAATCTTCTGTTCAGCTCTTTTATCTTGTCATTTCTTCCATTTGCTTTAGCTACTCTTTGTAGCTCAAGGGCAAGTTTCAGAGTCTCTTCTGACATCCATCTTGATCTTTTCTTTCTTTCTCGTATTTTTAATGACCTCTTGCTTTCTTCGTGGAAGATGCCCTTGATGTCATCCCACAATTCTAGTTTTTGGTCATTGGTGTTCAATGCATCAAATCTGTTCTTTAGATGGTCTCTAAATTCAGGAGGGATGTATTCAAGATCATATTTTGGCTCTTGTGAACTTGTTAATTAAAACAACAGTCTTCAACTTCAAGTTGAACTTGCATATGAGCAGTTGATGTTCTATTCCACAATCAGCTCCTGGCCTGGTTTTGGCTAAAGATATTGAGCTTTTATATCACCTCTTGCCACAGACGTAGTCAATCTGATTCCTGTGTACTCAGTCTGGTGAAGTCCACATGTATAGCCGCCATTTGTGTTGTTGAGAAAAGGTGTTTGCAATGAATAAGTCATTGGTCTTGCAAAATTCTACCGTGTGATCTCCAGTGTTATTTCTGTCACCAAGGCCAAGTTTTCCAGCTACTGGTGATTCTTGTTTCCAGCCAAGAAAAGATACTAATCTGAAAAAAGCGTGTAGCTGAGCATCCACCTCACAGGCAGTTTATGTTGCTATCTAGCAGATAATATTCTTCAGCTCTCCTTCTTACAACAAACAAAGCAATGCTTCTGCCAATATTAGTGCAAAATACCTGAACTCTCAAACCATTCAATGAAATGAAACAACAGAATACAAAATTAAGATTAGCATAGAAAATAATTAAAGGTAGACAAAATTCAAATTCACTAAGACAAGTCTTATCTAATAGAGCCTGGTGCAACCCCTTAGAAACACTTCAAACCTGGACCAGAACTCACCCCCAGGGATCACCTCTCAGCTGAACAAAGACAGGCCTTTTTTTATGTGAATAACACCGTCAGGGAGGAAGGTACTCAGTAAAGTCAACCACGTGAGACCAAAAGAGTAGCATTTACCCAAAAACAAAGCTCAGAAGCAGGAAGGGGCAGCAAAGAAGGATAAGTAGAAATAGGAAACCAAGGAAAGAAATGGGGAGAGAGTTATTATTACATTGAGGGGATTACAACCAGTGTTTGGTTTTTTTAAATGAATTAAAGATGATAAATAAGAAACAACAATTCTAAATATTAAATTGAATTTAGCAATGCTTCAGATGAGTAGTGTATCCCTTAGATAAGCAGGGAATTCTAGGAACTTAAGCATGACTCAGCATCAGGAAATCTTACAGACACAGCAGAATTTAGAAAACGGATTTGAAGGTACATGGGAACTTACATTTTCAGTTTAATGGAATGATCACACTTGACTATCCATCTGGAAGAAAAAGGTTGAATTCCTATTTTTACCCTCCCAGAGCTGGCTACCTTGCCCATTTGTGTGAGAATGATATGTTCACAGGATGCACAATACAGCACAACAGTGTGAAAAGAGTTGGGCAGTGTACCCATGTTTAAAAACAAATTTCAGATAGATTATAGTTTAAAATGTAGAAAAATGAAACAAGTCTCAAGAAAACTATTTTAGGGAACATTTATATGATCTTGTGGTAAGGAAAATCACTTAGCTAAAACCCAGGAAGGAAAAGAAATATATATATACTTGATTTCATTAAGATTAAAAATTTTGTATAGCAAAGAAAATATTAGTAATGCATAACCAAAAAAACCTAAAAGGATATTACATATAATATGAGAAAAGTTCTTAGAAATTGATGAGGAAAAAATAAAAGCACCCAAAGAAAAAAATGGCAACAGGAATAGACAATTTATATAGAAAAATTCCAAATGGCAAACAAACACATGAAAAATTAATTACAGATAATTGTCCGATAGAAATGAAAACACAAGTACACAAAGAAGTGTGTTCAAGTCTGTGGATGAATCTGGAAACAGTCTGAATGTGTATCAGTAGGAAAATGGATATGCCTTTTGATTGGAAAATGTTAGGATTGAATTGTGCCCCTTAAAAATACATGTTTTGAATCCTAACTTCTGCCTGTGGTTACAGTCCCATTTGGGATTGGGCTGCCTTTGTTTGTTAATGAGGCAGGATTAGTGTGTTGTTGTTAGGGGTTTGTTTAATCTCTTTTGAGATATAAAACAGATTAAACAAGCAAGTGAAAGAAGCGGAGATGATGGGGGAAGAGCAATGAGTACATGATGATTGCCCAGCAGAAGTTCAAAGAGAAAAGGACCCTCCTCCAAAGCAGAGTAAAAGGCTTTCCATAGAGCCCACAACCTGAGTTTGGACTTCTAGCCACCTAAACTTGGAAAATAAATTTCTGTTTATTAAAGCCATCTGTATTTCTATTATATCAAAACTAGATAACTAAGACCAAAACCTACTGCGGTCAAGTCAATTCTGACTTGTAGCAGTCCCCATTTGGTTTCCAAGGCTGTAAATCTGAACAGAAATAGATTGCTTCATCTTCCTCCCACAAGGGCAGCTGGTGGGTTTGAACCACTGACCTGGTTAGAAGCCAAATGCCTTACCTGCTATGCCACCAGAGCTCTTTAGGTAACTAAGATAACTTAAGTAACTAAGAAAAGTTCATATGATGTTGATACAGGCTGCAGACAGAGAAGTGGTATCGTATGATCCCATTTTCAGACCCCAAAATCTAGATGAATGTGTTTATATGTGTTAGTGTTAGCATGGAAAAAGTTATATAAGAATGCACAGTAGGCTCTTAAAGTAGATTTTCTCTTTTTTATGTTTAATAATGAAATTTTAATTTTAAAAACATGCTTATGGATAGATTTTGAAAATGAATTTATTTAAATAGGAACTCTATTCATTAAACGTATATGTGCCAATTTAGACTGACTTTCTGTTTGGGTAACAGTCTTAAAATAGTAATTTTTCTTCTTTTCAGGTTGTTTCCAGAAAGAAGAGAATGGCGAAGTATGAGAAGGCTGAGGTAAATGGATTACTTAAGTAATAAAACCGGTTGCCATTTGCCATTGAGTCACTTCCAGCTCATGGTGATCCCATGTGTGACAGTAAAATTGTGCTTCATAGGGTTTCCAATGGCTTATTTTGGGACATATATTACCAGGCATTTCTCTGGGTTACCAGGACTCTCTGGGTGGATTTAAACCCAACCTCCAACCTTCAGTTAGCAGCTAAGTTTATTAACTCTACCATCCAGGGACTCCAAGTTACAACTACTCTCCAAGTTTCAAATGTCTGACTTACACATCCAACCCATAATTGCAAACCAACTCTCGTAAAGTTTGTTACATTAAACATTCACAGTATATGCAATGATTCATAATATAGCAAATGGGCACTACTCTGCAACCCACATCAAAACATTATTATTATTAGTGTATTATGTTAAAGATGAATTAGTATGTATCTGGAAATGTTTCTTTAATGTTTTTTATGCACATACACACTATATATTATATACTAAGACAAACATTTGACTAACTAATGTTAGACACACCATACCTAACTTTCCAACTTACATAAAATTCAACTTACAAGCAGACTTAGGAACTGAACTCAAATTGTACCTTCCTAGACACTGATCTCAATTACAGTGGAGTCCCTTTATAGCATAATTTTTAGGGTCTTTCCTTTTAGACAACAGTCTTAGAATGGGCTCTTACTGAAATCCTCCTCCATGAGTTTTATAACCAAAAAAAAAAAACCAAACCCACTGCTGTCGAGTCAGATCCTACTCATTAGCTACTCTTCCTTGGGTTTCCGAGGCAGTATCACTGCAGGAGTAGATGGCCCAAACTTCCTTCCGAGGAATGGCTGGTGAGTTTGAACTGCCAGCCTTCTGGTTAACAGTCAAATGACTTAGGCACTGTGCCAGATCACCATATATTGAATTCTGCTTCATAGAAAATAGTGGAAGCCTATGCTTTACATGGAGCTCTGGTAGCATAGTGCCTAAGGCACTTGACTGCTAACCAGAAGGCTGGCAGTTCAAACCCACCAGCCACTCCTCGGAAGGAAGGTTGGTCATTCCTACTTCCGTAGCGATACTGCCTTGGAAACCCAAGGAGGGGTCGCTGTGAGTTGGGGCCAACTCGATGGCAAATAACAACAACAACAACAACATGCTTTACATCTTGCAAAGTATGTTTTTGGGTGCCGTCGAGTCAATTCTCACTCATAATGACCCTATGGGACAGATTAGAACTGCCCCGTAGGGTTTCCAAAGCTTATAAGCTTTATGGAAGCAGACTGCCACGTTTTTCTCCCACGGAGTGGCTAGTAGATTTAAGTCTCCAACCTTTTGGTTAGCAACCATATGCTTTAACTGCAGTGCTGCCAGGTGATACTCTTTAGTTTTAACATAGTGGGATCTTTTTATATGCCACAGGTATACTCTAGTGGATTTGCATTAGAAAAGGTGTGATTAATGACCTGATTTATGTCTCTATGCCAGTGAAAAATAATCTAAAAATGAAGTTCATTTATGTCATAGTAGATCTGTTGTATACTAGTCAGATATTAATGTGAAATCAAAGTGTCAAATTGTTTGATAATGTGATTCAGTTGCTTGGAATTTGGTATGAATGTCCTTGTCCCTGAACTTTTATCAATAACAACATGTTTGGTATACCCACCAATTTTATATATTTATGTATTTATTTTTTAAAACATATGTGCTGCTTCCTAATATTTTACCCAATAGCAAAAAACAGAAATTTAATAGAACACAGACAAACTTAATAGAACCCAAAGTTCTAACATATTCTC